TTTACATATGCATTTTTGACAATTTATCACCTTGTAATGCATTTAACAATTGACATCTTAGTAATATCTTAATTGCGAAATATTATGTGGGCTATGGACAGATATTTATTAACATAACTTCAAAACTGATTAACGGATATCGATGTAATTTGTGATAGAAATAGAACATGTCTCCAAAAACATATAGGCTAACATGTGTGTTTTTTTTCAATTTCACGTTTATTTAGTTGATATATCGAAAATGTCACTATTTTGTGTACAAAAGAAGTAGCCAACTCAGATTAGTTTTTTTACTTTTTTTTAATAAAATTTCACATACCAATCCACAGATAAGTTCATACAATATAGCGCCGTAGCTCCAATAGTCACACACCCCCTCCCTGCCCGCTCTGTCTGTCCCCTCGCTGTCCCCTCCCCTGTCGGTGTCCACGAACACACGCGCCTTGCACACCGACATCTCCACGCCGGGGTAGTGGATGAAGTACGTCAGAATTATTTGACCCTTCTCGCCTAACAGGATGTTACGAGGGTGGAGGTCTCTGTAAAATGGTCACCAATATATTACAACATATCAAAAGAATAATAGTAAATGTAATTACCAGAAATACATAGAAAAGCGTCGTTTTTTCATTTTACTAAATTTAGAAAATTTTAATAGAAAAAAAAGAAGAAAAAAGCTCAAACAATTTTATGAAAAATGGTATAATCAATATAGATATGGGAATATTTTAAACAATAGTATGTATGTATGTATGTATGTATGTATGTATGTATGGGCAGACCCGCAGACGACGCCGCAGTTGTGCAGCGCCTCGATAGCCAGCAGCAGCTGCGCCGCCCAGCGGCAGACGGCGCCGGCGGGCACACACTGCAAGTCATTGTAACTCATTTATGACTACCCACTTTACTATTTTTTTATACAATAAGGTGGAAAACGAGACAAACAAACTGACCGCTGAAATGGCAAATCGACCACTCCCCATAAACATTTGCAATTGCAAATGCGTTGCCTACCCTAAATCGACGGAGGAGAAGCATAAAGAGGATATTTCCTCCTCCTATACGTCACCTTCATCGTCAAATCCACTTTTCCTTCCCATCTTTTTATTTTAAGAAAAGGGTGGAAAGGAAAAGGGACTAAAAATAGGTGCCGGCACCACACTCATCAGACGAAATAATCAAATTCAATCACCAACGGCAATCAATTTAAAAACTAACCAAGATTTTATTAATCAAAATGTTATTTGATAGTATTTTTTCAATAGCATAGACGTTATTTTTTTTTACAAATACTTTTTTTTGTAGTATTATTATCTACACTATTATAATAAAGCGTAAAAAGACATTTATTTGTTGCCTAAAATGTCAGCAATTACAGCATATTTTTGAATAATTCTTTTCTTAATAAAAAACCCTACACTTAAGTCACGCTTTCGGCTATATATTTTCACGCCATTAAACTTAGGGGGTAAATATTTTGAATTAAAACCCTAATATGGGAAAGAGACCATAAGTTGCTGCCAACATCAAGGAAGCAAGATTGCTAAGTTTTGTCATGTCATGTCATTTTGACATTTGCTATTGACAATTTGACAAATGTAAACAATAAAATAATTTTATGCTGATAAAATCGCACTGGAACAGCTAGTTTTAAATAATATGACACTTACCCTATTTATCAAAGGCTTTTCAATTGCTTCGTTTCCTTTAGTTTCATTTCCTTGTATTTCTCCGACATCTTCAATATTTTCTCTGACTTCGGTCAACACTTTATCAACATTTTGCAATAACTTTTGTGAATTTCTTACCAATTCACTAACTGACAAATCATTTGAATCATTTTTATTAACATCTTGTATCGTATTTACTTCATTATCATTCACTTCTTGTTTTTTTGTAGGTTCTGTGAATACATTTTCCAAATTAACTTGTCTGTTCGGTGTATTCGGTATTGATTTGTATTCTTTTATGTAATCGAATAGTTTTTTTCCCGGTGCATATGATAATATAAGGAATATTAGGTTGTTTGTCTGTATGTACGCGTGTAACGGCACCATATACGGTATAAGGGTAGGCAGAATTGGTTGTCTCGTCTCGTTTGTGCGTTGCAAGAAATATTCGTCGAATTCCGTTAAATTGTGTGGAATTTTTCTTATAACCTGAAAAATCGACAAATAAACATTTTTACAAATGCCAAATATAGGTCAATTAATCGTAAATTTTACAAAGTTATTTAATATCTTTTGTTATGTGCATAAAAACATTTTGCGTGTGAGAGGCCCAATTTTATGATGGAGGGAAGAGAAGTAGAATAAAAGAATTCTAATGGTTACTAGGTCGTTCATCACATTTATAAAAATACGTTGTTGTGGTAGTTTTGATACGATTATATTGACTAAAGAATGGTTCAGGGTTTAAATGCTTGACCTGTAATCTATGGCTCCTGGGTTCAAATACCACTATTTACAAATAGTTCTGTGAAGAAAAAACATAGTAATGTTGGACTTATATGTAAAGAAATTCAAAGAAATGTGTGAAGTGGCTGAAAGCTCGACACTGGATCTCAACCAGTATCGGTGAAGCTGAGCCTCCCC